AGGCCGTGCAGAGAGGCGGCGTGTCAGCACAAGTCTGACCAATGGAGTACAGGCAGGCTGTACAGGTGTCATGCTGTCAGGGGGGGAGAGGTCAGCACAAGTCTGACTAATGGAGTACAGGCAGGCTGTACAGGTGAATAGGGGGGAGAAGTCAGCACAAGTCTGACCAATGAAGTACAGGCAAGCTGTACAGGTGTCGAGGTGTCAGGGGGGGGAGAGGTCAGCACAAGTATAACCAATGGAGTATAGGCAGCCTGTACAGGTGTCGAGGTGTCGGGGGGAGAGGTCAGCACAAGTCTAACCAATGGAGTACAGGCAGGCTGTAGAGGTGTCAAGCTGTCGGGGGGGGAGAGGTCAGCACAAGTCTGACTAATGGAGTACAGGCAGGCTGTACAGGTGAATGGGGGGGGAGAGGTCAGCACAAGTCTGACCAATGAAGTACAGGCAGGCTGTGCACGTGAATGGGGGGGGGGCTAGCACAAGTCCAACCAATGAAGTACAGGTAGGCTGTGCAGAGAGGCGTGTCAGCACAAGTCTGACCAATGAAGCACATGCAGTCTGTGCAGGTGAATAGGGGGGGCTAGCACAAGTCTGACCAATGGAGTACAGGCAGGCTGTGCAGAGAGGCGTGTCAGCACAAGTCTGACCAATGGAGCACAAGCAGTCTGTACAGGTGTCACGGTGTTGGGAGGGAGAGGTCAGCACAAGTCTGACCAATGAAGTACAGGCAGGCTGTACAGGTGAATGAGGGGGGGGGGGTTTGCACAAGTCTGAAAACTGGAGTACAGGCAGGCTGAGCTCCTCAGTAGAATGTAACTAACCACACTGGGACAGATGAGCTCTCATGCCTAGTGTGGTCGGTGTGAAATAGGAAAGCAGAGGGACTGGCAGGATCACCAGGGATTTCACACAAAGGAAGCAATAGAAAGAGAAGAGGAGACTTCTTCATACCAGGACATGACACAGCCGGCACAGAGCGGGGGGAGAAGATGTTGGGGGGATGTTTAGGCTTTGTGTTCAGGTGAAGATGTAGGATTAAGGTTCAGGTTTGGATGTAGGATTCGGGTTCAGGTTTGGATGTAGGGTTAGGGTTCAGGTTTGGATGTAGGGTTAGGGTTCAGGTAAGGATGTAGGGTTTGGGTTCAGGTTAGGATGTAGGGTTAGGGTTCAGGGTAGGATGTAGGGTTAGGGTTCAGGGTAGGATGTAGGGTTAGGGTTCAGGTTTGGATTGTTAGGGTTAGGGTTCAGGTTTGGATTGTTAGGGTTCAGGTTAGGATGTAAGGTTAGGGTTCAGGTTAGGATGTAAGGTTAGGGTTCAGGTTTGGATGTAGGGTTCGGGTTCAGGTTTGGATGTAGGGTTCGGGTTAGGATGTAGGGTTAGGGTTCAGGTTTGGATGTAGGGTTAGGGTTCAGGTTTGGATGTAGGGTTCAGGTTAGGATGTAGGGTTAGGGTTCAGGTTTGGATGTAGGGTTAGGGTTCAGATTTGGATGTAGGATTTGGGTTCAGGTTTGGATGTAGGGTTAGGGTTCACTTTTAGATGTAGGGTTAGAGTTCAGGTTAGGATGTAGGGTTAGGGTTCAGGTTTGGATGTAGGGTTAGAGTTCAGGTTTGGATGTAGGGTTCGGGTTCAGGTTAGGATGTAGGGTTCGGGTTCAGGTGAGGATGTAGGATTCAGGTTTGGATGTAGGGTTCAGGTTTCAGGTTAGGATGTAGGGTTAGGGTTCGGATGTAGGGTTCGGGTTCAGGTTACGATGTAGGGTTCAGGTTTAGATGTAGAGTTCTGGTTCAGGTTTAGATGTAGGGTTCTGGTTCAGGTTTAGATGTAGGGTAGGGTTCAGGTTTGGATGTAGGGTTAGGGTTCAGGTTAGGGTTCGGGTTCAGGTTTGGATGTAGGGTTAGGGTTCAGGTTTTGATGTAGGGTTCGGGTTCAGGTTTGGATGTAGGGTTAGGGTTCAGGTTTGGATGTAGGGTTAAGGTTTGGATGTAGGGTTCGGGTTCAGGTTTGGATGTAGGATTAGGGTTAGGGTTCAGGTGAGGATGTAGGGTTAGAGTTCAGATGTAGGGTTCGGGTTCAGGTTAGGATGTAGGGTTAGGGTTCAGGTTAGGATGTAGGGTTTGGATGTAGGGTTAGTGTTAGGGTTCAGGTTTGGATGTAGGGTTGGGGTTCAGGTTTGGATAAAGGGTTGGGGTTCAGGTTTGGATGTAGGGTTCGAGTTCAGGTTGGGATGTAGGGTTCGGGTTCAGGTTTGGATTGTCAGGGTTCGGGTTCAGGTTTGGATTGTCAGGGTTCGAGTTTGGATTGTCAGGGTTAGGGTTCAGGTTCAGGTTAGGATGTAGGGTTCGGGTTCAGGTTTGGATTGTCAGGGTTCGGGTTCAGGTTTGGATTGTCAGGGTTCGAGTTTGGATTGTCAGGGTTAGGGTTCAGGTTCAGGTTAGGATGTAGGGTTCGGGTTCAGGTTTGGATTGTCAGGGTTCGGGTTTGGATTGTCAGGGTTAGGGTTCAGGTTAGGATGTAGGGTTCGGGTTCAGGTTAAGCTGTAGGGCTTGGGTTCGGATTGTTAGGGTTTGGGTTCAGGTTTGGATGTAGGGTTCGGGTTCAGGTTTGGATGTAGGGTTAGTGTAATGAACCGCCTGGCGGTACCTCTAGCAATCCACGGAATAGGATTCCCAGAGCGCGGAGTCTAAGTCCCAGTCTGCTTGTTCACCAGGGCCCCTGATGGTGGGGATGGACTTGGAGCAGAGACCAGGTCGCGGCCCCTGAGTAAACCCACCCATGGTAGAGGGATCCGCCAGAGGTATCTGCAGGATGAGAGCCTGATGTGAAGGGGTGGATGGGCCCGAGCAGGATGGATGGATGGCTGAGCAGAAGCGTGGTCAGACGGGCCGAGTCGGTAACCGTGAGGGCAGTGCGGTACAAGGCAGCAGGCAGAGAATGGTCGGGTCACACGCCGGGTCAGTAACAGAAGGTCAGATCCAATGAGGGGCATCAAAGAGAGAGGTCAGGCAAGCCAGGGGTCAGAGCAGGAGAATACAGCACGGTCAGGAACAATCCAGGTCAGCAACGATCAAATAGCAAAGGATACAGGAGCAGGAACACAGGATAGTCCAAACGGCAGCCAGTAACAGCGCAGAGCGGATTTAAATACCGCGCCCTGCACTGTCATTGGTGCCAGACGCGCAGATCCGAGTGCGCATGCGCAAAAGTTCAATGTGAAGAGAAAACCAAAATTTGAAAGAGAACCCGTCATGATTCCCATTGAGTTCTGAACTCATTCTAGAAGCCTGGATTGGGCAAAAAATAAAAAATGGAAATTCCCCACATCTTGAACGCGTTTCGGCTGCTGTCCTCACCCAAAGTCCGGGGCTGTCCCCAACAGACTCAGCCGTCCAGTGCTGCCCCTCTTCTGGGCTGGAAGAGGCCAAGCACTATCCGACCTACTTCCTTTGAGCCCAGGGTGTCAAGGCCCCGCCTCCTGCCCTGGACTCATGTTCTGCAGGCAATGTTCTCGTCTGAACAAATGTTCTGCAGGCAATGTTCTCTTCTGAACATATGTTCTGCAGGCAATGTTCTCTTCTGAACATATGTTCTGCAGGCAATGTTCTCATCTGAACATATGTTCTGCAGGCAATGTTCTCATCTGAACATATGTTCTGCAGGCAATGTTCTCCTCTGAACAAATGTTCTGCAGGCAATGTTCTCCTCTGAACAAATGTTCTGCAGGCAATGTTCTCCTCTGAACAAATGTTCTGCAGGCAATGTTCTCCTCTGAACAAATGTTCTGCAGGCAATGTTCTCGTCTGGACAAATGTTCTGCAGGCAATGTTCTCCTATGAACAAATGTTCTGCAGGCAATGTTCTCCTATGAACAAATGTTCTGCAGGCAATGTTCTCCTATGAACAAATGTTCTGCAGGCAATGTTCTCCTATGAACAAATGTTCTGCAGGCAATGTTCTTGTCTGAACAAATGTTCTGCAGGCAATGTTCTCTTCTGAACAAAGTTCTGCAGGCAATGTTCTCTTCTGAACAAATGTTCTGCAGGCAATAAATATATGTAAAAAACGAGCACTAGATCTGTGTGGGTGGAAAAGCTAGCATGGAAAGCAATGACGTCAGAACCTTCTAAATGCAATATATATATATCAACATGCAGTGCTAGGATGAAAAGTCTTATCCTAAATCATTACCAATAACAAAACCCGTATGGCATACGGATATATATAGCGTCTCTTGATATTTGAAGAAATGACATTATACAACACTCTGAATGTGTGGTAAACTCGTGACAGTCTTTGTCAGGGCTCCGGGTATGACCAGAGGTGTGTGGACTGACACAGGGAAACGCAGGCTTCAGGCATAGTGTAAATAAGACAATTTATTAAGACTAAATAACACAAACACAGTGCAAGGTAAACATAACACAGTGCAAACAACCCAAACTCCAACAGATAACCATATATACAAATCAAACGTAGTCGGGCAGGCCGGGTCGGTAGCAAACGGGCAAACAGGGTACCAGGAGCGAGCGGAAGAGTGGTCAGGAATAGCCGAGGTCAGGACAAGCGGAGTTCATTCAGAGTCAGGATCAAAGCAGAGTCAGGATCAGGCAGGAAGCAGACAGGATGCAGGTACAGGGGCTCATGGGAAACATACACCAAGGCACTGACTGCAGGTCTGGCCATTCCTAAAATACACCTCCTGCAATCAGCCTCAGGTGATGGCTGATTACAGGAGTGAGCTTCTGGTTGCTGAGAGCACCCGCTGGCCAGCCCTGGTACTGCAGCCCACACGGAATATGAGTCCCACCACTAATGGTGAGTCCATTGCTGACAGTACCCCCCCTCTCAAGGAGCGGCCTCAGGACACTCCAAACAGTCCTTAGTGGGAAAAATGTTCTACAGCCCGGGTTCGGTAACTGGCTGGATATCCTACTGCCGGAGTCAACTGGCTGGCTGGGTTTCCTGCTGGTAGACTTCTCCTTGTGTAGGAGAACCCAGGAAGGCAGGTTACTGGACACAGGATCTCCCAGAGCAGGCTGGGAATCAGTTATTGGCCAGTTTAGCTGGACATCAGGGGCTGGCACATCAGGCTGGGCAGCGGACCGAGGCACATCAGGCTGGGCAGCGGACCGAGGCACATCAGGCTGGGCAGCGGACCGAGGCACATCAGGCTGGGCAGCGGACCGAGGTACATCAGGCTGGGCAGCGGACCGAGGCACATCAGGCTGGGCAGCGGACCGAGGCACATCAGGCTGGGCAGCGGACCGAGGCACATCAGGCTGGGCAGCAGGCACCGGGCCATCAGGCGGAGCAGCAGGCACTGGTCCATCAGGCGAGGCAGCAGGTACCAGGCCATCTAGCAGAACAGCGGGCACCGAGTCATCTGGCACGACAGCGTGCACCGAGTCATCTGGCACGACAGCGGGCACCGAGTCATCTGACAAGTCAGCGGGCACCGAGTCATCTGGCACGACAGCAGGCACTGAGCCATCTAGCAGAACCGCGGGCACTGGGTCACCAAGCTCGACAGTGGGCACCGAGTCATCTGGCAGGACAGCGGGCACCGAGTCATCTGGCAGGACAGCGGGCACTGAGTCACCAAGCTCGACAGCGGGCACCGAGTCATCTGGTAGAACAGCGGGCACCGAGTCACCAGGCTGGACCACGGGCACCAAGGCACCAGGCTGGACCACGGGCACCGAGGCACCAGGCCAGACCACAGGCACCGAGGCGCCAGGTCAGACCACGGGCACCGAGGCACCAGTCCGGAGTGGGTCATCAGGCTGGATCGGGTCATCAGGCTGGATCACGAACACCGGGGCATCAGGCTGGATCGGGCCATCAGGCTGGGTAGCGGGCCATCAGGCTGGGTAGCGGGCACCAGGTCATCAAGCTGGATAGGATCATCAGGCTGGGTAGGATCATCAGGCTGGATCGGGTCATCAGGCTGGATCACGAACACTGGGTCATCAGGCTGGATCGGGTCATCAGGCTGGATCGGGCCATCAGGCTGGATCGGGCCATCAGGCTGGGTAGCGGGCACCAGGTCATCATGCTGGATCAGGTCATCAGGCTGGATCGGGCCATCAGGCTGGATCGGGCCATCAGGCTGGGTAGCAGGCACCAGGTCATCATGCTGGATCAGGTCATCAGGCTGGATCGGGTCATCCGGCTGGATCGGGCCATCAGGCTGGGTAGCGTACACTGGGTCATCAGGCCATCATGCTGAACAACGGAAGGCGGGTTTTCGCTTCTTCTTGGGTTTAGTTACTGGGGCACTGCAAGTAAATGCAGGTCTGTAAATGGATGGAGTAGCTGGGGACAGAGAAGAGCTGGAGGGTGGAACAGAGGAGGGAATAGTTGTTACAGCGGCCTTTTTTACATGGTTAAAGGCAGGATAGGTGCAGCGAGTGGGAACAGGGTACTGACAGGTGGTAGATAGCAGGGTATATTGGGCTGTAACTGGGGGTGCTGTCGGGAATACAGGAGTAGAGCTTTGAGCAGAGGAATGATTAGAAGCAGGATGGGTTTGTTGCAAGCTGACTGAGGCTGGGGTGTAACAAGTCTGACCAGGACTGTAGTATTGGTTGAACAAAAATCAGCTTACACATAGCCTGTCTGACCAAAGACTGCACTGCGTTTATACACTCCACTAGCACTTGTGGTGAACATGCTGAATAATGTTCCCAGAAGCAATCCGGATCATCCTCCAACAACCATACCAGTGATTCTATTTGATCCACACTTAATGGTGGAAGAAAGTCATCCCGCCTTGAAGAGTTACTAGATGAAGCCAACTCAACACAAGCCTGAATCAATGGTTGCACCTCAGAGAACTCTGTGCCCTGATCTACTAGGGAATGAGTGACCCGTATACATTCTAGCAGCTGATCCCTGGTATACTCCTGCAGAGTCTGATAGGCATATTCTCTGTCATCTAAGTCGAGCAGACACAAGTATATAACCTCCTCCGGATGCATCCTTCACAACAACAAGCCAAGATGGCTTCCCTGTGCAGCCACTTCTGGTCAGGAATGGCCTTGGTGTAATGTCAGGGCTCCGGGTATGACCAGAGGTGTGTGGACTGACATAGGGAAACGCAGGCTTCAGGTATAGTGTAAATAAGACAATTTATTAAGACTAAATAACACAAACGCAGTGCAAGGTAAACATAACACAGTGCAAACATCCCAAACTCCAACAGATAACCATATATACAAATCAAACGTAGTCGGGCAGGCCGGGTCGGTAGCAAACGGGCAAACAGGGTACCAGGAGTGAGCGGAAGAGTGGTCAGGAATAGCCGAGGTCAGGACAAGCGGAGTTCATTCAGAGTCAGGATCAAAGCAGAGTCAGGATCAGGCAGGAAGCAGACAGGATGCAGGTACAGGGGCTCATGGGAAACATACACCAAGGCACTGACTGCAGGTCTGGCCATTCCTAAAATACACCTCCTGCAATCAGCCTCAGGTGATGGCTGATTGCAGGAGTGAGCTTCTGGTTGCTGAGAGCACCCGCTGGTCAGCCCTGGTACTGCAGCCCACACGGCAGATGAGTCCCACCACTAATGGTGAGTCCATTCCTGACAGTGTTTCACAGGTTAGAATAGCAATGGTGACATTGGTGGTACCTATAGGTGTAGATTACACTAACCAGATAGCGCTAATTATTGCGCATATGAATGATGATACATGGGTCATCTGCAGTTGGACATCTAGGATACGGATTGTCTGATGGACAGCCACAGGAATTCCAGCCTATTAACCACTCTTCCAGATAATAGCAAAGCGATCCAGATCCACCAGAGGGAGCCAGCAATCAGGGTGTCATCACAGGTCTTTAACCCAGCATCAAGGAGTATGTAGTATACACAAAATCCACCAGAGGGAGCCGGCAATTAAGATGTCATCCAGTGGTCTCCTTTTAAGAGGTAGGCTCATAGAAGAATAAGCCCAAGCACAGAAAATGCCATAGTGCAACACTGCTTTATTGTGAAGAACATCAATAAAAGGAATGACACTTACACTTGTTAAAAAAAAACACTTTTGGCACCTAGCCAGCTGAGGGGTCCATGTGGTAGAGTCACTGAGAGCTGCTTCCTGACGTATTTCGTGCGACAGCACATTTTCAAAGGAAGCTGGCCTCTCTCAGTGACAGTTCTTATATACTGTGGGCGACGCATGCGCATTAGGAAGCCATGACGTCATTGCCGTTTGTTCGCGCATGCGCAGATCGCTCGCACGGCGGCCATTTTTTAGAAGTCCAGTGATTACATAGACTTCTATTGGGGACATAGTAGAACATAGGGAGAGGTAGGGAAACTGCCTCTCTACTCACTCTCCATAGGAGTCCTTTCTCCATAGGTCCCAGGAGTTCTACATTAACACGATTCCTCTTAGAAAAAGATCAGAAGCTATGTGTGCCTGATCTCATGGTTATTTATGCTGTTAAGCCATGTTTGTAGGAGATTGTCAATCATAATTAGTATGGATGGAATTGTGCAATATAGTAGTAGAACTACTAGTGCCAGCAAATCAAAAAACTTTTTGAATAGCATGCGCAGACCCACAAGTATATGGAACCATAGCCAATCTGTATATGGCTAACTGGAAGGAGGAGATAATATACTCCAGAGACTGGCCTGACCTCATTTTTTATAGGCGGTACATAGATGACATTTTACTCTTGTGGAAAGGTGACGAATTTTCATTGACCAATTTTTTTAATACTCTTAACCATAACATCTAAATATTAAATTAACGTACGAGCACAGTCACTTTGAAATTAATTTTTTAGATCTAACACTTTTTTAATGAAGGAACAAGAATTTTAACAAAAAGTTTTTTTAAAATCACAGATAGGAATAGCTTTATCCCAATAAATAATTGCCACCACCCGAGATGGCTAAATGGGATTCCCAAAGGACAGTTTCTACGGATCCGTAGAAATTGCGATAAAATGGAGGACTACATAACCCAAGCAAACACCCTCAAGTTACAGTTTGTTGAGAAAGGCTATAATATTGATACTCTAAATAAGGAGATTCAAGAACTTGGTGAGCTTAATAGAGAGGATCTCCTGGGTCCTGGGGTCAAATGCAAGAAAGATAGATTGTGTCCTTTCATTACTAATTATTCGATACATTACAAAAGAGTATCAAGAATCATGAGTAAGAATTGGTCCATTCTCAAGAATGATCCTTTATTGGGAGAAGTGTTACCCAGCCATCCATTTATCATGTTTAGAAAAGCCCTCCCTCTGAGGAGCACCCTAGCACTGAATATAGTTAACCCACCAAGACAGCTCTCTTTCAATTTTAACCATAAAGGATTTTACCCCCGCAATCGCTGCATGCTTTGCGTTTATAGTGGTACTCATTAAAAACCGATCAAGAGCGTTCACTCTAACGTGGGAAAACATACAATATACAAACAGCAATAACTTGCTACAGCAGTCATGTTGTCTATTTACTTGAATGTGCCTGTGGTAAACATTACATTGGCAGAACTACGAGACGACTACGAGACAGACTCAGAGAGCATTTAACTAACATTAAAAAAGGGTTTAAAGACCATTCGCTGTCGATGCATTTTCGGGTGGCCCATAACAAAAACCCATACTGCCTGAAATTCATAGGGATAGACAATATAACTAGTCATTGGAGAGGTATTTTTAAGCGCCGTGCAGTGTCGAGGCTTGAAACTAAGTGGATTTATTTATTACGGACTTCAGCAACACTTGGTCTTAATGTCGAATTGGATATCAACTGTTACATAGACACTAGTTAATCCTCCCCTTTCCGAGATGCCAAAATAGTTCAATAATGATATGTGGATTTTATTACACATTATTAGGTCTTTGCTTGTGTTTTTAATGGAAGTTTTTGTCTTAATTGCACATGTATATTTTTAGATATTTTTTGGTTATTATCATTTTTATTAACACCATTTACACTTAGTATGTGGGTATGGCATCCAACACAGGCGCTACATTACCATATTTTAGGTGCGCATGCCCTTTGAATATTATAATAGCAATTGGTTCTTTGCTTTCTAACACATCATTACAACCAATAATCCAAAGGATGTATCTGATAATAGACAATAATAGTAAAATGCATTATGCAATAGCTGACATTTTTTATCCCATTTACGCATGAAGTACTTTGTCCGAAAAGATGTTTTATATTCAGATATATTGTTAAAAACAAAAACATTTTTATATAATATTTTTATTTATCATAATTTCAATACCTATATAATTATATTTTTAATATACCCTCATATTTATATTTTTACGGGGTATTAATATTCTGAGTTTTTAACATGTCCAAACGTCAGCATATTGTAAGTGTTTTAACCATTGATTGATTTATCTATTCCATATACTTGTGGGTCTGCGCATGCTATACAAAAAGTTTTTTGATTTGCTGGCACTGGTAGTTCTACTACTATATTGCACAATTCCATCCATACTAATTATGATTGGCAATCTCCTACAAACATGGCTTAACAGCATAAATAACCATGAAATCAGGCATACATAGCTTCTGATCTTTTTCTAAGAGGAACCGTGATAATTTAGAAC